GCTTCGTATAAAAAGATCTATGATTTATTTTTCTGACGCATCAAACCCGAATTCGACGCAGGTACTTTTTCCAGAGATGCTGTCCGAGTTGTTTTGTTGTTTTATGCACCGTTTATCTGTTTTTTGTAACTCTGTGTATGGTTTCCTGGATTCGGAATATCTTAGCTCAATACAGGCTCCGCATAATCTTAGTTTGCGAAGCGACAACGCAGGGACATCCTTTGCATTGTACCATGCCGGGGAGGGGAGGAGAGGGAGGAGAGGGAGAAGAGGGAGAAGAGAGGAGAAGAGAGGAGAAGAGAGGGGAAGAGAGGGGAAGAGAGGGGAAGAGAGGAGATGGAGATGGAGATGGAGTCGTTGAGCGAAAGTCGAGGATGAGGGTGAGGTGAGATGAGGGAGTTGGTCGAGAAGAGCAGAGGGCGAGTTTATCGTGATTCGATGGCTGAGCCTTGGGGCGCTTGGCACGGGTCTCATCTCCCAGGCCCGTCCGGATCAACTACAAGGGAAACAAAACAGCCTTTAGACACCAGGGCAAATAAATACAGACTTTGATTCGACCCATGGATTCTCCCAGGAACAAACGCATGTCCCCAGTTAAAATGTTAATTTATGTTAATTATCCCTTGAACTTTTTTATTTATTTTTATTTATTCTTTTTTTAAAAAAAAAAAAAAAAAAATTTTTGTTCAGGGTGGCTGTGAGGGACACCCTAAGCGCCCTCCGGATAAAATATTCCCCCAGTCGGCGTCCTCAATGTCCTGTGCAATCCTTGAAACATCACCAAGTCCGTTCGCGGCTTGGTTGGCCCAGAAGAATCCGTTTAAAAGACTGACTTTGACCCCGTTCAATACCCAATCCCTCCGAATTATTTCAAGCCCATGCCCGACTTGAGCTACAGAATACCAGCTCCAAAACTTACTGGTTGGCCCGTTCCGCCTCTTTTTCCCCATGTGGACTATCCCCCCGGTTTCCCCGGTCCCTTTGGCTGGTTCGCTGCATTGCACTAGATGGATCCCCCGAGTATCTCACCAGAGATCACCAGACGTAGCTGTGATATCTGGCTTAATGTATTTTGGTTGGTCTTTTGCTATTATTGGCAGATTTTATCTTCATGATATCCAATACCCTTGCGACAAGGAATGACGTAGGCGATCAGCGATGGGAGCCCCTCCTCTCATCCAGTTTGGGATCATACCACTCAGGCCCTGCCGGGAAGCATTTTGACATCGTTACGGTATTTCCGCAGCACCCTGCGGCTGCTTCTGCTGCTAGTTTTTGCCGCTGCTAAACCATGTCCCGTACCTAGGCTGTGGTGGAGCCAAGCGGATTGTTATCGATAGCCGCAATGGGGATACCCTTCTAGATATGTTCACACTGCAAACCTCTCCAGCAGCCTTACAGAGACCCACGATATGAAAAATACAATCTTGAAGACCTGTTATTACGCTTTTTCTCCACCCAGGTACACCTATCCTCCCAGAATTGCCAACCAATTCTTCCTTGTTGTTCAAAGAACATACAGAAAATCCCCAAAATGGCGAAGTGCATCACACCCACACGCATACCCACATAGATATGAGGCAAGCCAACAGGGATCTCCCAACTTGCCTACTTCAGTTTCAGAAATTTGCTCCATCAAGCAAGCTTTTGTCGACCTTGGAATTCTCACGGCAGGCTGAGACTCTTGCAGTTTCATCACTTTCCACTCGGATGCTTCAAACTTCATTTCCGGGTAGGTAACTAGCCACTACTGAGATAGATCTGTCTCGCATCCCCCGAACCGGTCAAATACAAAAAAATTAAATATCCAACCTACTCCACTTCCCGAATAAAAAAGGGTAAATGAAAAAACTGAATATGTAGTTCCACATCACATATATACATCAGCAGCCCCCCATCCCTTCCATATATATATATATATATATATATATATATTAACTGTCCCCGTGCAGAGCCTCTGTACCACGGAACGAGCAGCACCAACACTGAAGGTATATATATATAATGGTATATACATCCCCTCCTCTCTTCCGGTCCGCCTCGACTTTCAAGGCGAAAATTACAACTTCTCATCCCTCCTAAACCCACCAACCTCGCTCCCAATCTTCAGTGTTGACGGACCTTGCACCAGTGGGGCTACGGCCTGAGAGAATTCCTTGAAGTGCTCCGTGCTGCCGTGTGTCTGAATCGCCTTGGCATCCTTGTATCTGTTATGCGAGGAAGAACAAAATATGTTAGCGCAAGTTTGAAGCCAAATCTAGTTTTCTATATAAAACGTGGGTGTCCTTGCCTCTCCACGATGAGCAATTCGTCTCCAGTCTTTGGTCGGATGGCATAGTAGGCCAGTGTGTCGGGTTCGGCGGCTTGGACCTTTTTGGCGGTTTCGGCGAAGAGGGCGGCGACCTGTGACGGGGGGATGTTAGTATTTTAATTTATTATATTATATACACATTTATTTGTTTATTCATTTTTTTTTTTTTTCCCTTAAATTCTTTAGGATTTATTTATAATTCAGTGCTCAATATAACTCACTTCGTCGATTTTGCCCGGCTTCGGCTTTATGATGGCCACGAGATGAATTTCGTTGGAGGCCATGACTGTTGATGCGTTTTATCTTGTATTTTTCTTTTTTTCTTTTTTTCCTTTTCTTTTTCCTTTTTTTTTAAATAAAAGAATTACTTTCCAATTGACAAATGTTATCATAGAGACGAGTGTGAAGTGATTATTATCCTTGTCTTCACCTCCATTTTAAATACTGATCAAAAAAAAAAAAAAAAGGCCATCCCCGGCTATCCCCAAGCTCTTGATAACCACCGTCACAAAAAATAACCGCGGTACATCCATCCTCCCTCGTAGTTAGTCCCTACTGGATGCCCTTTAAAACTGCGGGGCTGTATATAACTGAGCGCAAAAAGCCACGAGTCCCCAGTAAACCGGTTCCCCGAGAAAGGCCTGTCTCTCGGTGATGATGCCACTAAGTTGGTTAAAGGCAAGGCATAAACACGGCTCTGCGTGGAAATTGTAAATTGATTGGCCACCTTGTCGTCAAATGGTAACTCAGGAACAGGGAGTTTGTTTACGCCTGTCTTTTGGAACGTTTGGGAGTTTATTAGGCTGGGCCTGGATGCAAACCATGGATCAGTTAACCTAAACTGGGCACATTCTTCTAATCACACTTGGCCGCCTGCAGCTTTTCTATCTCTACTGCAGATACGCGGGAATAGATAAACACATCCCAAAGAGGATGCAGGATGCAGGATGCAGGACGCAGGATGCAGGATGCAAGGATGCCGATGTCTTTGGCCCATCCAGTCACTTATAAGGGTAGATATTAATGCTGGATCGGATGGTCGCAGCCGTGTCCCAATGCCACTGCGTCTCTGCGATATGCCGAATATCTTCATTTTTCTCCCATTTCTTTCCATTCGCCGGTTATTCATACACGGTTTAATAGCCATTGCTGCTATTATCCTTATAATCTTAACAGGTTTCAACTTCACTTCTTTTCGTATTCAGAATTTGATCCTCTTCAGGGCTATGTGCATGGTCCTTCTGACAAGCGATATCCTCATATGTATTTATGCTATAACCAAATATCAATTGCCACACCGCAACAAATACGGGCATGAGATATTGAACCCTTTTATTCTGATCTCTGCGTACTCTGTTGGCAGTTTACACAGGCCGACACGGTTTTCCAAAGTACGGATGTCTCAAAAAGAAAGAAGAAAAAAACCCCTTTTTGTCGAATATATATATACACAATATTATACCAGTCTCCAATGACAAGTCCCACCAGCTAGTTATAAAGGTCGTAAGCAACGGAAAGGCTACAATTACTGCGCCTGTGCTGTTTGAAGCAGTCGATGGACGGTGTGGATAATGAGACAAGTCCCGTTCCAAAAATAGTGAACGGTGTCGTTCGGATGCGGGAACGACAAATGCGGACCGCAATTACGACAGGTAAGTTCACGGGAGCTTCTTCCATTCGAAATGGTTTCGATACTCACCCGTTTCTAAGTCTGCGAGATGTTCATCGATCACGCAGATGAGATCGAGGAATGTCACATACATCACATACATCACGCACGTCATGCTATGAAGTTTCATCTCGTATTCGATCCCAACGGACTTGCGTAGTCGGGGTTTCCTCAGAGACCGCTATTTCGCAGCTGGACTGCATAGGCAAGCAAGTTAAACTGTCAGTATTAGTGTTAGCCCCTATCCTTGGTTCACAAGTGGCAATGTCTAATTGTGATTAGACTCCATTACAATGTCTCTTCCCGCTCGGATTTTGATCCTTTTGGCCGATTTGATGATGATGGACACTCTCATATGGGAAATATAATAATTCTGAGAGGACCACCCCAAAAGGGCAGCATGTTCAACGGGCATGCATGAGCAATTCTGAAAGGGTCTTCCGTGCCAACGAAAATCAGACATTCGACTTTTAAACCGCCTCCTGAGGAAACGAAACGGTTTTTCATTTGTGCCTATGGAGGAGTTCTAGTGCGTGATTCAACCTGCAACTCTCACGTCGTAATGTTTGCTCCTTCAACTTAGAAGTGAACCACACTCCCACGGTGTAGGTCATCGGACGTATTCTTCACATCGACCAGGCAAAATTGTGAAAAGTTCACGAGAGTGTCGTCCCACCGTCTTCACGCATACAAACTCCAAAAGTACGAATCAAGGCCTGTTTTCGGGTCTGGTGACGGGCCAAATTAAGCGCTTTTTAGTTCCTACATGGTTCTAGAGACACAGCGCAATAGGGAATTCCTCCATCTCCTTGTATACCGAATGACTGATTGCCTGGCAGAACATTGGTAAGAGCTGCGTGATATGCTCATCGCCTATTTACAGAGTGACAATCCTTCCCTTCCCCAGGAGGGGCGAAATACCGCAGGTTCGAAAGTTCCGTTTGTGCCTGGGTGGGATGAATCGACATCCACCGCCATTAAAACTTCCCCTCCTCTTCCTCTCTCGACGGTTGCCAACCAACGAGCGCCGCTACTGAACCACGGAATTGGAATGCATTGGCTTGGTGTGGGCACTTGCAAAATGCCCTCAGTACTTCGACAACGTCAAGCGCGAAGAAGGGAATCCGACATATAAATTCAGCTCCTCATACTCTGAGGTTCACAATGTGGTTAGGATTGCCCCATAGAAAGACCCCCTTCTGAATGGAATCAGCTAATCACTGATATGATGGAACCACTCCTCATCAAAACAGCAGGTGATACAGCCAATGAGGAGGTCTTTGAGCCTGAAAAGATTATCAACCCTCGATTGTTCTCCCAGACAGCCTCAGCGTTACCACACCTCTCTCCCCCCAAAAGAACCAATAGGCGAAGTCGCAGGCCGCCTGGAGAATACAAATACCCCTCGAGGCCCGCCCTGAGAGCGGGGCGCGAAGATCACAGCTCCGAATTCTACATGCCAACCTCTTCGGACAGACGCAAGGTTATGATACTTTCTCGATCCGAGCATTGGAAAAATATGGTATGAGCTCTTGTTCCCTTGACAATGCAGGAGTATGACAGCATTTCAGATAATGGGACGGCACCAATCAATACTGCCTGGATTCGTGATACTAGCATAACTAATCAGTATAGTCACAACGTTAGTAATGGGGATGCTGTCATACTTCACTCTTTTGAGTGCAATTATTTCATGGATGAGAAATACATACACTTGTTGTTATGAATTACTGAGGTCCTCTAGTCACTCCCGAACTACGATTACCTAGCGCATATATTTATGCGTATCTCAGTCAGATAAGAACGAATCAGATAGAGTAAAGTGACACGAGAAAAATTTGTCCTGAATCTCACTATGGACAATCTCTTCTCACTCTTCAGAGGAACTGGGGGAGAGCCCATGCCAATGGCATCCGCACCAACAGATGCGCCCACACTGACGCAGTCCATGATTCAGCAGACCCTCAGCTCATTGATCAGCATCAGCTTCAATGCTGGCTGCAACCACACAGAACACAGAACTCCTTAGTCACAACCAGGCAGCAGAATTCCATAACCACAACTGCCACTTATCAGATCCTGCTCTGACACAGGGATCTTTTCAACCATCAAGAAGGCAGGTGCACAAGTTTTGTTAAGTGTGCAGTCTGATTCATTCAATCAGAATGACCTGTCTCACCTGATAATCTTCAAGCCTGTGAATAATGATCTTAAACTCATGATTCATGGAACTTCAGTATTAATATATGCTTTCAGTCACAACTACTTGAGCAAAAGCTCTCAAGTTCTATTTTATTGAGAACTTCTTCTTTACTTTCTACATATCTCAAAAGATCAATTTGCTGCGTGCATTTGATATTATTGTTTCCTTGATTTTCATTATATAAGACTATTTCTACTGACTATAAGTTGACCCTTTTATATAATATATTTCTCTCTGTATAATTGGTTATGTGTATATATTCATGTTGTTTATTGCCGCCTATATATAATATATATATATGTTATTGGATATTTAAATATAAATACATATTTGCTTTGTAGGGGTTAGGTTTCCCCTTTGTCGCCTGCCAAGAAACCTTGGAATTGTCCACTTGGTGGTCTTAGCTGGTCTCCAAGCTCGAGCGTCAACTGCTGTCTGAGGAACTAGAGAGCTTTGCCCAGGAGCGAATGCGAACAAGATCTCCCCAGTCCTTCTTAATTGCCATCAAAGACCAGCTGTCACCTAATCACTGCGTGATATAATCATCCCGGTTCCAAGGCGCCCAGCGCGGGGCACTTCGAGACTCCCTCCTAAGATCAGTGACGTTTAAACTAGCTCCACCCCCGAAGTGGCTCTTTCATATTAACATGCAACCATAAGATCAACAGTTTATGTATTTTGTATGATGTGGTCCATGACCGAACTGTGAGCCTGCTCTTCTCATGAAGCCTTTTGTATCTCATGTGTATCTCGAGTCAGGCTGCACCAAGAACTCCACAGTCATATGTATGCAAGTAGGAAAGCGTCCGTTAGTTAAAGCAACCCAAGACTTGAATTAAACTGACCCCTGCAAGGGACTGCTCGTAAGCTATGCACGGCATGCATCCCAAAAGTTGTAATCTGGAGATATATGAAGCTAATCCAGAAATAAAATGGAAACTGTGCTCTTCGGTTGATTTCCTGGCTGTTGGCAAGACCCAAACACACTGGAGAGAGGGATAAAGCTGACAGGAACAGGTAGTGGTTTGAGCAGTGCCATCCAGCATATTCTCGGTGACAATGGGTCGATGGGTCGAAAATAAGAACTGGAGATGTGTACATGTTGTAACGGTCTGTGGTAACGTGACTGGCCACTCGACAAACATAACAGCGAAACCGCCAGCTACAATTTACAATTCCACAGATTGACTTCTCAACACATTATTTCTTATATTTGAATATAAGTAAAAGTATCTGTTAGATGGAGTAGAGGGTATTAAAATTTATATTTAATTTAAAAACTAAGATAATAACTAAAATAAGTAGATATCCATATAAATGAAAATATATATATATATATATATATATAAAACATGAAAATTAATAAAGTTGAAAAATTGTTAAAAAAGAAAATAAAATTCTAAAGAATTGATAAATATTCATTAGTTTAGAGGCGGACTTACACTATATAAGAACTCTTTCTCCTAAGAGTTTGTGAGTGTTCTTGTAAACAAAAGACTGCAGTCTCTCTAAGGGTAAACTAACAAATCAGTGACATGCTGCATAGAAGCAATCCGATCAACTCCCTATTTATTAATAGTGGTGTTATTTGCCCCTTTCTGAGAGAGGAATTCAGCTCCTGTGAGCTCAATGTTCGCGTTATTTGACATGGCAGTGAGGTTTGAAGCTGGCGGGTTGAAGGGTAAAAAAATCGCGTCAGTCACGTTGCCCGTTGTCCCCTCCTGTATGACACCATAAGAGGCTGGAGATTGGTTGGGATATTGCTGTGGATCAATGATATTTTCCGAGCAAATAGATGGAGGATTTGGGTTAAGTTAAAAGGAAAAAGTCTGAAGGAACGAGCACTCCATGTCCAAACTCCGTCACTATATATATATATACACACACACACACACACACAAATAAACTTACTACGGTGACTGCCCGACTCCGTGCTGAGATAATAGAGATATGCGAGATCAGCCCCTGACCGCACCCCGCTAACCGCTTATTAGTTAGCGAGAAGCCAACGTGTTCCAACCTCAGCCGAGTTAAAATCTTCCCCGACCCGCAATTGATTTCCTCCGCCACCACCGCCTCAAAACGCCAAACCGTCCATCCTCCAAGTGGCCCAGGCCGGCCATCCATCATATTTTTACTGGACATTGACGCATATATGCTGTGGTAGCTCCCAAGTGCCAACTCGTTGCTGGATTCTATCTCATACCCAACCTGGTGTGCCCTACCAAAGTCCAGGTGCATGTCTATCTCCGTTTATTAGCAGCCATGTCAGACAACACTCCCCCACCTCTTGATAGTGTCCATCCGACGGACACCTCTCCGCGCACAGAAAACGAACTGCCTCCCCGGCCCCCGTCGCCGCCGGTGAAAACGACCGCCCCTCAAACAATGGCTGCCGTTAACCATGAGGAGATGGCTCAGCTGGAGAGAGTCCTGCAGTCGGATGTATGGAGAACAACCCTCAGTCCTTGCTTCCCGTCGTTGAAGCGCACAGACGCATTTCTGAGTCAGAGGAGAACATAGCTAACAATTCTATTGCCACTGGGCAGATTGGAATTTCAATCCTTTTAACCAGGTTGAAACAAACTATCGCATCCACCAGGGTTTGTTCTCTATCGTTCCCCTCCCGAATATTTGAGCCCAATAGCCAATTGGTATCAATCAAAACCTAGGACTTCTCAAGTTTTCTTCGCAAGCGATCCAGCCTCGAAGAGGAACATGCACAAGGTCTCAAGAAGCTCGCTCGTACCATGCACGACTCCGCCCACCGCTTCGAAAACCGCCAGGGCACCCTCGCAACTAGTTGTGACGAGATACATCGTATCTACGACCGCATGGCCGATCATGGCCTTCAGTTTGCGATCTCCCTGCTCCAGATATCAGATGACTTAAACGAGTTGGCTGCGGTTATGGAACGCGGCCGGAAGCACTGGAAGCAGACCGGCCTGAGCTCGGAAAAGCGTGTACAAGATGCAGAAATCATGGCGGAGAAGGCAAAGGCGAAATACAATTCTCTCGCTGAACAGTATGACCGGGCGAGAACGGGGGATAGCCACCCCGGTAAATTCGGCTTGAAGGGCCCCAAATCCGCGGCCCAGCATGAGCAGGATCTCTTGCGTAAGGTCCAGAATGCGGATGCGGATTATGCGGCCAAGGTCCAATCTGCCCAGAGCCAGAGGAAAGAACTTACCACTTCGCTGAGGCCGCAGGCGGTGCGTGCATTGCAGGATTTGATTTCGGAAGGCGATTCGGGGCTTGGGCTTCAAATGCAGAAATTTGGTATGTGGTTTTATTTTATTTTCTAGAGTAAAGGTACCGCGCATTTGGGGGTTATATGACATCTAAAGCTGATATTTGTCTGCAGCTATGTTCACAGAAAAACTTTTGCTTGGGAATGGCCTATGCGTGAGCCCATTGAGAAACATCCCCCCTGTCAGTGGTGCCGAGTTCAAGAGCCTACGTGACGTTGCCTATGAAGTGGACAACGAAGGGGATTTTAAGTCTTATGTCTTGAGCCATTCGTCAAAGATTGCATCGGGTGTAACAGAGATCAGATACGAAAGGCATCCAGTTCGTATTCCGCCCAGGTTATTTGCTAGGAAATCTACTCTTTATATCTAACGTGCCAAACCTAGACACTCACGGCACCTCCGCAGCCAACTCCTATCCAGACAACCAGTCAGCACCCGGCCGCAGCGCAGCAATTCCCTGGCCCCACCCACAGTCCAACCTCTCCCAAGTCTGCTTCGACCCAATCCCAGCATCAACAACCTCCAATGATGTTCTCGGCCCCACCACCACATCAACCGCTCATGCAACACCATGAACAGTACGGCATGCACCCACAAGCACCAGTGCCCACGCAAGTGCCCCCCCCACAACAACAGTATACAGGACAGAGCCCCGTCCAGATGCCGACGCCCTACCAGCCTTATCCGCAGGCGCCAGCACCACCCCCCCAGGAACGCCAGCTGGGAGGCAGGAACGGGTATAATACAGATCTGCCGCCGCTCAAACCAGTATTTGGTGTTTCATTGGAAGAACTGTTCCAGCGAGACGGAACTGCCATTCCCATGATCGTGTACCAGTGCATCCAGGGCATTGAGCTTTTCGGGCTTAATGTTGAGGGCATCTACCGTCTCTCCGGCAATGCGAGTCACATTGCGCATTTGAAAGCTTTGTTTGATAATGGTATGTCAAAATTATTATAAAACTGGTAGATTAGATTTCAGGATGGTTTCGTGGGTCAAAACTAACCTCGTGTATCATGGCATGTAGATTCCTCCCAAGTCGACTTCACAAACCCGGAAAATTTCTTCCATGACGTCAACAGCGTAGCTGGGCTGCTGAAGCAGTTCTTCAGAGAACTTCCGGACCCGTTGTTTACCAATAAGCACTATTCAGATTTCATCACTGCGGCCCGTATGTCGAACACTTGCTCCCAATCTATCTGCGCTTGGATGTATGGTTTGCTAAATATGCCCACTGTGACATAAAATATAGAACGCGAAGATGATATCCAACGTCGTGACGCCTTGCATGCCCTTATAAACAATCTTCCCGACCCGAATTATGCTACACTCCGTGCCTTAATTTTGGTTTGCCCCCCTCTACCCCACTGCTCTTTTAACCTCACCCATCAATCTTTGAACCTAGGATCTGCTGACTTATGTTGAAAAAATGGTCACAGCATCTCAACCATGTGCAAGAGCGGTCTACAGAGAACAGAATGAACGCAGGCAATATTGCCATTAGTTTTGGGTGAGTCTTTATAGCTTCGCTTTATCCCTTTAAATGCTATGTTCACTGATCCGGACACACCTCTCCTAGTCTGACCCTGATGGGCTCAAATGCGGGTCACAACATTGCGGACTCCGGCTGGCAGGCGCGGGTCATCGAGACCATTCTGCAAAATACGTTCCAGATCTTTGATGAGGATTAGAAGGACAGGGGCACTCGATCCTTCATTTGGCATCCATTATATATTCTCCCGCCCATTTTTTACCTGGATTCTTTACTCTTCCTTCTATTAATTATACTTGTATCCCTACCTACCTATACTTCTCTTTCTACCTTGCTTCTATACTAGCCAACAACCATCCCTTTCTGTGGATTGCAATATCTGTTACGTAGCAAAATCCCTTAACCCTCTTCCCCCTCCTTTTCTTCTCATTATTGCGGTCGACGATCAGCGGACAACTACCTATTGTTCCTTTGCCTTGTTCATGTACAGTTCTTTCTCCTTTCCCCCTTCCCCTCTTTTTGAGCTTTGTTTGTCATTCTTGCGGTTGACTTTAGTATTTATTCTCCCTTGGCAAGATAGCTGCCTATTATAATCAGTATCCATCCTAATAGTTAACTCAGCTCAAGCTCGAGATCCCTGTGTGGCATTGTCTACCCGTGCACGGTGTCTCCTGCCAAATCTACACTCGTTCAAGAAGTGAGGGTATATTAAATATAAATTTTTTTCAATTATCACAGATCTATTTACCTTGAGATCAATATAAGTTTAGAGAGAAGGTGTACTTATACATATAAAAGCAAAAGGTGAAAAAAATCAAATATTCAATATATTATTTATCAATCTCTCATAGTAATTATTTTAATATTTCATGATATTCATCAGAGATTAAAAACACTTATTTCATATTATATTTTACGCATTTTTATAATGACAAATAGTTAAAAATAAATTAGTTAATTTTACTTATTTTAGAAAGATAACATAACTAAATATAGTAACTAATTAGTAGTAATTTCTTTATAATATATAGTTAATTAAATTTTTATTAAAAAAATATTTAAATTTAGTAAAAGTTTCTCATAATATTATTAATAATAGTATTTATATTAATATAATATAGTTAATGGTAATATATTTGATATTTAAATATTGATCAAAGATTTATTATAAATTATTTCCTTTCTTTAAAAACTTATATTAACTTCTTTAAATTTGTAATATAATATATTATAAAAATACTTAATAAAATTTTTTAATATAGCATTTGATAATATATCTTTAAATCAACTTTAATATAATTAATTAATACACTATAAATGCATTTATATATTTTTAAAATTTTCAGAATATGATTGAGATATATTATTAATTTAAAATTTCTGTATTTAATGAGTTGACCATAGATATAAGAAATTAATTTCAATTTCTTATCTTTTTACTCTTTTTTTTAAAAAAAATAATAATTCTGAACTGAAAGAATCATATCATTGATTTAATAAGTATCTTCCTTTCTTCACGTGACCCCGACAACCCACACTGAAAAGTTCGGAAGTTTGTGGGATTGAGTCAAGGCGCAATTTTGAAAGTTGCATTTTGAGAATGTAATCGAATATGAAAAACCATTCCCCCCCCCTCTTCATTGTCACACCGTTTCTCCTCTTTCTGCTTTTCATTCTCCTCGTTCTTCTGTGCCTTACCCTATATTTCGTCGCTGTCTTCTCTTTCACCCAGCAGCTCATCTTTGAGAAGCTTATCTACCACTTTTCATTACCGAGTTAGGCTGCACATCACACATCCCAATACCCACCGTGCGACTGTCCAGAGAATGGGCCAACCGTCCTCCCAGGCATCAAATGCCTTGATATATTTGACCTACGCAGCTTTCCTGTATAGACCTCCTCCAAACACCATCCACCTCCCCTCTCCTCCCCACACCCCTTTGACGAATACAGATGTTGAGGATGGATAGTGGCTGATGTTACTTCGGAACTATGGCGCAGAGCTCTCGGACTCTATATCGCATATCGTCTTCGAAAACAAACCACCAAGGACTTTGTGTCCAGTAATGGCACTCAGAAGGGTTAGGAAAAAAAAACTGCACTCACCAACGAACAGTTCTCCATTTATCATCCCATTCTTGAAGGATATGCATCTCTAGATGGCATCACCCGCACACCTACCAGTGCCCTGTTTTTCTCCTTTTCACTTAGTGATCACCTCGTTGTGAACTGGCTAATGCTTCCCCTGTCATCCTTTGTAGCTATCCCTCTTGCCCTGAACTTTATTGCGTCGGGTGAGTTGCGCAGACAAAGCGCCATCGCGCTCCCATGGTTCTCTTCTTCGTGAGAAGCGGCAGCAAGAATACTTGTGTAGCTAGCGGCGATGACCCAGCAGAAAACGACAATCAATTAAGTATTGTGGTGGTGACATTACCACCAATAACGTATCCCACCACGGCCAAGACTTGAGCCCTGCGGAATGACTGAAAGTGGTGGCGATCTCCGGAAGCGAAGGACCTGGAGTAATCTTACAGATTTGATGCTATATTTATATCTCAGCATACAGCAGGTTCGTATTCGAGATTCAGTTCAGTAGATGCTGTTCTGGGCCTGACGGTCTATGGAGAAATTAGGGAAGATAAAGATTCGTGAGAAGGTTATCCCGAATCACTTAACTTTCTCTTTTTCCCTTGTATATCGGTGGGTCCAGAGCAGCATTCGCTGCGGCTTCACTACGGGCGCTGATTGCGGCATTGGGCGGGAACTTGACAATCCACCTCCGGAAGATCATGGCTTCTATTTCGTTGCTGTTGTTTTACCCCGAGAGATTGTCGGGCGCTCGATGCAGGCATGATGCTGAGATTGTACCGTCGAACACTCGACCAAGTTAATGCTTGCGTGGGAAACGTGCTGCCGCTTCTCCCCTTCCCCCCATCTGTTCCACTCGCATATCCCCCCTTGGTTGTGTGAAGATATGGAATATGCTAATTCTAGGAATGTGTCTGTAACCTTCTTTTCCTTGCAGCTCTTGGATCGGGGATTTTGTTTACCTATCCTGAAATTGCTACTATTGCCGGTGTCCAGGGTTTGGTTATCTATGGGTTAGCTTCGGCACTACCGCTATTGGTTTTTGGATATTTGGGGCCAATTATCAGAAAAAAATGTCCAGAGGGTTTTGTTCTCACCGAATGGGCCCGGGAGCGATATGGTTTGGTTACGGCGATATACCTTAGTATTTTAACGTAGGCTCCCAGAATTACTCCCAGAATTACTCCCAGTTTTCCCTTTCCTCTTCTTCTTTTGGGGAACGGGCTAATTTTCATCGATAGATTGATTACGTTATTTCTATACATGGTTGCGGAACTTTCTGCGCTTCAACAAATCGTCAGTGCTCTCACTGGACTCAACGGATTACCAACCGTGATCGTTCAAGTTATGGTGACGACGATTTACACGTCCCTGGGTGGCTTCAAAGTATCTTTTATCACCGACAACATCCAGGGAGCAATGGTGGTGGGATTAGTTATTATAGCTGTCATCACCGTGGGTACGAAAACGAACATCGATCGATCCCTAATCGACTCCTCTGGCCTCTTGGACGCCTCTCTTCTTGGATGGCAGCTAATATATATCCTCCCAATCGCCATCTTCACGAACGATTTCTTCCTGTCCAACTTCTGGCTGCGAACTTTCGCCTCCAAAAGTGACCGCGACCTGCGCATCGGCGTATCAATTGCAAGCGGCACTGTGTTTTGCATCCTCACCCTGGTTGGTGTAACGGGATTACTGGCAGCATGGTCGGGCGCCTGGCCTGGAAACCCCCCCCAGCGGGCCTCGATCGCATTTTTCCTGCTTCTCGAAAAACTCCCTGGCTGGGTGGTCGGCATCGTGCTAGTCATGACTGTTTCTCTTAGTACTGCCGCATTTGACAGCTTGCAGTCTGCCATGGTTAGTACGGGTAGTAACGACCTCTTCCGCAACCGCCTGCCACTGAAATATGTGCGCATCCTTGTTGTTCTGTGCATTATCCCTGTCGTAGTTGTTGCCCTCAGGTCTCCCAGCGTGCTGCAGATCTTTCTGATATCTGATCTCGTATCTGCTTCTTCGATTCCTGTTTTAACTTTTGGACTCTGGGAGAAAGCGTATTGGTGGAAGGGATTCGAAGTAGTCGTTGGAGGGCTAGGGGGGATTTTCTCTGTCTTCGTTTTCGGAGCAATTTATTTCAAAGATGCACAGGAGGGGGCTAAATTGATTCTTTTGGGAAACGGTCTTTATGCACAAGACTGGAGTGTTTTTGGTATGTCCTTCCCTGTTTTACCTCCTTCTTACCCAGTGACTAACAACTACCCAAGGTGCATTCCTCGCCGCCCCCTTGGGTGGTATTCTCTTCGGTATCGCAGCCCTAGGCTTGCGATTGGGCTATCAATTCCTGCTGTGCAAACACCAACATCGCAGATTTGATGCTCTGGATAAGCCAGAGCCACGTCTTCAACCTTCCGGCGACGGGATTTCCGATTATGGAACTGCTCCCATTGAATCTGGTATCGAAGGACTACCTTCCACCCTCCAATTTGCTGCCAAGCAAGATACGGAAGCAAATATTGCCCGTGGCAACGCGAAAGCATCTCTGTAAGGGAGCGTGCAGTGAAAAAGTGACTTTAATGGGATAGCTCCCCATTAGCGTCTGGTCCAGTTATCTTTCATAGCGATCCAGTTGTTCCCCAGGGACCTGGGGGCACTCTGCTGGCCTGGCATGACATGGGCAAAGCTTGGCTCAGCTCATTTACTCGGGCTATACTAGCTTCTTTGACGCCAAATGGAACGAACATATCTCTACTCCTGTTTTCTCTCATATATGTTTTAGTGACTAAGATCTGTCTATTAATTATATTGCATGTACTTGGTTATCTTTAAGCTATGCAAATACAAAAATTGAGAGAAAAGGAGCTTTCGTTTCCGTTTGTTTTCCATGTGTTAGATTCTTGATTTTATTGAGTTGGGCGGAGGAGGATGGGTTTGCATTTTTGAGTAGGGTGGGATACTCGTCCAGCCTGGACGCTTGTATGTCGCGATTATACATATACATACATGTTGATAGATGGGAATGCATTTAACATATGTTGACAATTTTGGATATTGGATTTGAGAGAGCTATTTTGTTTACTTTTTACGGATGTGAAAAGTGGGCCTTTTGACTTTTAACATACAATATAATATTTACAATTGTGTGCGCGTCTAACGCTAACAATCACAGAAAAACGCAAGATGAGCATAGGAGTTGAAGTTTTGATCATAAATCTGAAGAAATAGTTCAGAAATACAAACTTATCCAAAACTCACATTAGCTCATCATAGGGAAGTTCAAAAGGAAAAACACAATTTTACAAGTATCTTACATAAAAATTATCACATACTTTCCTTCTTCTAAGACTACTTCAGAAACAGGATATTAGGATATAGTCAAATAATTCTCCGCATTCCCTTTCGTCTCACAGTCTATTTGGGAGAAGCAGTCCATTAGCTCCCTCCAAACTTACTACTACCAGATATCAGCTCCAACCGATCCTTCAACGACAGCCCCTGCGCAAACGCGGGATTCGTCTCCATATCCTCCATCGTCGTCGCACTCGCAAGGCCCCACACCTTCCAATTCTTCTCCTTCCCACCAATCACCATCCTCTGCAACACAATATACTCAGTGGAATCCTGCTGCTTTGCCCGCACCGGCGTTTTCGACTGTGCCTCCTTAGTTACAGGAGGCGGCGTCCTGCTCAATGTCTGCCGGCTCTGAATGCGCACTACGATCTGCCGGATGCCAACTCCGTGGCCGATGTTTGCAGCGCGGTCAGTTATCACCCGTGCGCCTGTGAGGGTCATTGAGAAGGGGAATTTTATGTATTTGTCTAGGGTCCAGATGAGCTTTTTGGCATGCTCGGGTCGCCGGGCGATGCGGTTTGAGAAATTTGTGTAGAGGCCGCTGCAGCAGATATTCTGGAGGGTGGCGGTATCGGCGCTGGTGGGTCGCTCGATGGGACATGGTTAGCGGGGGATTGTCTGCCTTTCGAACTTTTATGTTTCCCCGTGGGGAATGTGGGGGGGGGGGGGGGGTTAAATGCGGGAGAACTCACGCGGCGAGGGCTGTGTACATGGATTTATGGAGGTCGAGGGCCACACGCTTCCTTTCTCGTAAGCGGAGAGGGAGCTTGTGTTTTTTGTCGAGGTATTTACAATAGGCTACAACACTGGCATTGGGTGTTTAACAGGCGCAATTGCGCAAAAGATTTTGTTAGCTGGACTTATCTTAAAAAATTGACACAGAGAAATCGACAGTCTCGATCCATCCGCCGCCGGCTCTCGCCCTTTCAAAGAAGGATAAATGACGGCACGTAGATAGTTATAACACACCCAACAAAATCCTGGAACTTCGACCTAAGTGATACCCACTCCATCCACAGCCGCTCTTTCGGATACTTGAATATGGACGGCATATGCCTCCACAATGGCCGGATAAAAGTGCCTGGCAAAAGACCAAGATCATCCGGAATGGAGTCCGCATCCATCTTTTGCATAAGCTTTTTCATCTGATTTGACCCGCTCATAACAGGCGGAGCTTTAGGTCTCAGTATTTGCGCGTCTCTCATCGAGGCTTCTCGCTGTGTGGTGTTGGAGAATGGACGGCCAGAGAGGAGAAGACATCGCGAGAATCGGGAAAAGGAGGAGGAGGATTGTAAAGAGGACCGAGCATGGATGTAATGGGGTGTTGTGGTGCGGCATGATATAGAAGATAGGAGGTTGGACGAGGAGCGGGGAGCGACGGAGGAGGACATTGTGATTGAAGGGCCCGCCCGGGGGCCAATTGAGGCGATTTCCGGATAAGAAACTGGAAAACGCCTTGCAGAGGGGCCTTGGAAGCAGGGTTATTGGCAGGATTGAGCCCTATGCGCCCATATGACTGACTCCTTGGGTGTTTGACATCGTCTCTAATTAATTTTTGGACGCTTTTGAAATCTTTGAGATTAAAGTCAAAAAATATACTTACCGCATTTGGACTAGCGTATTCCTTCAGCAGACCCACGTGATACATTTAGTCATCACACATAACGTAATTCCACACCGAGTGGGCCACCACACCGAGTGGACCACCAAAATCAGCACATCCCAACTGACTAGATTTTAATTCAAATATCTCTACACCACAACACTCAATTAAATTAAATTAAATTACATGCAGTTGAGAACATCTTAATCTTGTATGCTCAAGAGTATTGCAATTGCTGCAGCGTGGTGGAGCTCGTACACGTGATATAGGCTCAGAAGGTGGTGGCTCACAGGGTTGAATAACTCCCTGTTCAACAGGTGCAGCAGAGGGAATAACAAGATTCTGAGCTTCATTCCTAGTTAGATCCCCTGCATGTTGAATTTGGCACCTAGATCTATTCCACTTTTGCTTCTCTATCTCATTTGTGTTGAATATATCCTGATATTGCTTCCTCATAATAGCAGCACTGACCATGACATATTCACAAGCCTTGATAATTTGATCAAAACCTTCTATTAAGCCTTGGGGCTGCTGACCTTCCTTCATAAGACTTTTAACCTTATTCACCTGCTTCTGCAATTGCTGTGGATTACTAGGTGTTTGAAGCACTCAGAATGATGTGCTAGATCTGCTAGGTGATGGTGTAGGGGTGTGGAGTTGAATATCCAGCTGCTGGATAACATAGTCAGGCTGGAATGGCACTATTCCAGTAGTTCTGAAGCCACTTTGAATAGTCTGAGCTTTGAAGGCTTCTGTACACACTGTAGGATAGACATCTAAGAAGTCAAACTTCTTAATGGTGTTGATTCCAATCCACATTCACTGTTGAACTAGCCTTCCAGATGCTCACTTTAGAACTGCAAAAACACTCACATCTAGTGACTTTAAAAGATGTGATGAATGAGATGGCATGCAGAGTGTAATAATTCCATTATCCTTGCAGATTTGATCAAATTCTGGGGTAAGATGAGTGCTGTGTCTGTCCAGGATAAGAAGAATATGAGAGTCAATCTGATGTGACTTTGCTTCTGGAATAAACACCTGTGTAAGTCATTTAAGGCATATTTCATCTGTAGTCCAGTCATTAGGACTGACATCAAGTCTCCAGCCTGCAGGAAGACCTTCAAATCACCCCTCCAGCAGATTCCAACCTTTAAGAATGATATATGGTGATAGAGCCCATCCTGACGCGTTGACTGACTCAATCACAGTAACCCATTCTTGATTTCCAGGCTGTAGCAGCTTAGCCCGGCAATAGCACTCACTACTAGTAATAACCTTAGTAGTTGCACAGAGTCCCATTGCAAAGCCAGTCTCATCAAAGTTGTATATATCTTCTGGCAGAATCCCATGCTCAGCAATTGTATCCCTCAACATCTTAAACCAGCCCTGAATAATCTTTATATTTTCGCATTTGGCCTGGTCATGATTATAGTGTCTGGAATAGCAGCTTTGGAGCTCTGTACGGTGTTTAATCAGTCTTGAAATCCAGTTCTTGCTGACCCCGGGGGGGGGGGGGGGGGGGGGGAGTAGTGGAATGCTGTAAGGTAAGAAGGTAATTAGCCATATCCTCAACAAATGCCGGCCGGGAGGGGAATCCTCATTTAGCTAAATCCAGCACCCATTGAACTAGCCTATCCTCTTCAGCAGAAGATAATATATGTGAATTTGCATGTAAATTCATGTGTGCAGACCGGCCATGGAGTCGATAGGTGAGAGTTGAATGTGGCACATTAAATAGCCTTGCAGCTTCGCGAAATTGAGGATATTTCTTGCTTTTTAATAGCATTTATTGCAAGTTCAAGCCTTCCCTCTTGCTCTAGAGAATTTGAAGTCTTTTTATTGTGAATTGATGGCATAATTGCGCGTTGAAATGGATGAGTAGTTAAATTGGAAGATATTTTGAATTGGTGGCCCGCTCGGTGTGGAATTACGTTATCATCCAATCCACTTGGAGCATGCACTTCGGCCTCGGATGATTTGCCTTGAGCTCTTGGAGCTCGAGCAGTGTCTGCACTCGGAATGTTCAAGCTGCATCAAATCATAGAAACCAATGGTTTTATTCATTGAATCACTTTTTGAATTCACGCTGAGGATAGAGGGTGCACCTGGGTCCCAAGTTCATGATTGGCTATTCTGGGGTAGTTATTGTGTAGTTATCTGTGGATAGATATCTGATGGAGTGTGATAGATGACGACGGTGACAACGACAACGGCCGGTGGCTGGTGGCTGGTGGGCCCCAAGATGTAGCAACGGAAGATGCAGGTTGCTTCTCTCAGCTCAGGTTGCGGTTGAAATGAACCATTACCCTTTCATGGGAATCTATATCGCCATTCACTAAAAAATGCGGTGTCATATGAGAATCCCAATCCATGCCACCTCAACTTGGTGCTGGGACTGACTTCATAGCCACTTCTCAGTATGTTTTCGGCTAGCAAGTTTTCTTAAGGAGTTCTTCAGGAAGGATTTTGCTGCTTGAAATCTTCCCTCGTCACGTATTTCTTGTTTTCTCTGATTTCCTCTACCAGGGTAGGGAGCTTCTCGTTAAATGGTGGTGAGAGTGGTATTATTACCCCTGACACTGGCGAACCAACCTCCAGCGCTGAATCTACTGGTTGATCACCAAATTCCCAACCTCTGAAATATATTGCCGCCCTCTTTCAGTGAGATATCTTTAGTCGTGGTGTCATTCTTCCTGCTCGTGGCTCAAGCCTCTGTTTTTGCTGTCATTTCTGTCTTGATTTCAAGGAAGCAAGCGACTTAGTCGATCTTCTTGCGGGGCTGACTTCTATTGCCATTTCTGATAAGAGGGGGAATGGAATAGATATAGCTTCCTCTCCTGCAAGTTAATCGGTTCTTTTTGTGTTCTTGCTTACCAACACGAGAGGCATGCATGTATGACCGTCCACTGTGGCGGTCGCCATTCTCAGAAATGGGCTGTACATGCCGGTGGTGGGGGGGTAGGTTTCTTACTATCACTTACATTGTTTCGCTTTCAACAACTCTCAAAACGTCGATCGAGGCAAGGGGATGCCCTGACCATATGGTCTTCGCCATATTCTGATACATATAACATGACAACAAAGTTCTGCATCACTTATGGATCACCCGAAAGGGAATCGATTCTCCGTCTGAACAGCGGAATATCTTATGAGAATTATTGAGAATAAATCATGGGGAGGGCAGTGAGGGTGCTCGTTTGTTTTTGAAATTTCCTATCTAGCGGAGAATTGAATGGCAATGGGAATAATGTATTTCTCAGCCAGTGGTAATGACATTTGTTTCTCAGGGCGTATTTTCGCCAATCTACAATGAAGGGGGAAAACTAGAACGTCAAGAAGTGGCAAAAACGAAGAAAATAATTGTAAATACAGATAGGGAGAAAAGTGGGAAAAGGAGCCATTGTTCATAATTAGGACATATTCAGAAGAAAAGCAGCACATCATCTCATCCTCCGGAATGGATGGGCCTCTGTATTCAGTACATCCCATCCAAATTAATCAAACCAGGGTATAAATGTCGAATAAACACAGGCCAGCGTGTCTGCCAGCTAGAAACTTTTCATACGATCTGACAAGGGACATCCCCCCCCAGCGCAGCGCAGCCGTTGCTCTGGAAACGGCGACATCTTCCAGACCCATTCCCATACAAGGTTTTGTCATCTCCTCAACGGCTGTGAACATCTCCAGGCTGTATCGAGCAAGTTCATCCGGCCCGTGATGCAATAGAGGATGAAGACACTCTCGATGGCTTCTGGATGCAGGGCATATCGTCGGTCTTGCATGGACTTTTGAAGCAGCCTTTGGGAAGACGTTCGCGGGCAATGATCGCTTCTGCATCGTCGACTCTGCCGTAACCGAGGGGTGGAAGGGGATAGGAATGAGCGACCAATGACGGCTTCGAGGTATTTGGCCTCGTCCCAAATGCAAGATTTATCGGTGGGGCAAGGTATTATGTGGTATACCTCGGGCATCATCCTGGGTTGAGTCGCGTTATATGCCCAGATACATCCGTCCGTAAGCTATTGCGCAATATCCATGAGCACGGCGATATAGAATAGTTTAGATCCCAGCGCAAACATTCCTCCGGCGAAACAGACAAGTTGCTGCCCCTTAGCAAACAGCTGCTGCGCACCTATAACTGAAGGTACAGTCACCATGTCTGCGTTATCGGGCAATGTGGGTCTGTAGAGGTTGTGCTTTGCCACGAAGGCCACGGACTTCCTGTGCAATCTCTCATACTTCTCATCCACGCCACCTAGCAGGGCGTGCATCATAGGCAGATACTCGTAAAACAAGTCGGGCATCGCGCCTAGCATGAAGGTGTCGAGTAGTTATTTAAAGCTCTTCGTTTATGCATCTCACACACCTGGAAGTTTTATCTCATTTCATACTTATCGAACATTTCCATGATGCGGTGCACGGCATCATACCACTTTGAATCCTTGATGAGTTATGATAGATGAGTGAATTCCATGGTCAGGGAGTTGATTTCAATTAAGCAAACAAAAGCCAAATGTCTCCTGACCGAGGCCTCCGAACGCTAGATGAATATCCCAGCGGATAACAGACATGCCATTGGAAGTGTCAAACACGACGTATAAGGATATTCCCAGCTCTATAGCTTTGGCAAGGAGTGTTGGCTATTTAGATCGTACGCCGAAAGCCTTTTTTGACTACTTCTTGCCAGGGCTTCTGCTTTTGCTATTATCGCTCCAAAAGATGCCCCTGAAAAATCATGCTGGGCCCTGGTCAACTATTTGACAGGGCCAGAAGGTAGAGGAATCATTGATTTTCACAGGGTGTCTTCTTTGTAGTTCTTCCATTCGAACCTGACCCCATCGGGCAGCCTTGAATTATTTGGGCTGGGATTGGCATATGAACGAGTTGTCAGATAGAAGAGTAGAACAGTCGATAAAGCAAGACAGGTTAACACCTTTTTCTCAACGACAAGATGGCCGTAACACTTTTTGATATGCTGCACTAGATATCGGGCTGCTAGCTTAGTCGTTAGTTACCGTTGAGAAACGTTGACAGAGAGCTTTTTGTCAATGCATTCATCATGTTCTCGCCAGGATCATGGACTTGGTCAAGCCACCCTGGACTAGGATGAAGGGATCCATAACATCTCATGAGTGAAATATACGGAACCGTGTCCATTGTTTTAATTCCGTAACTTCGGCTTGATTTTGATTCGCCACGATATTCAAGCCAACATAACGTAACTACCCAGATCACAGTTATCCAAGGAACTAATTAACCTGGGCATATCAGTTTGGGGCTCCAAATGAAGACTTCTCTTCCTCGAGTTTGCAGACGGGTTTTGGGATATTGGGTTTCCGCTTTTTTTGGCAGGTATATTTTGTCTAGGAGAACCATAACAAGTTCATCCATGGGTAGTCATGGATGAATTCCAATAATAGACGATTCTTGCGGGCGTCTCCCCGCCGAGTTCCAGAGACTGGTTAGGCGTGTTGCCCAAACCGACGGGCCTCTAAACGAGGGCATCTTGGCGCCTATTCACCCCCATAATATGGGCGAAAGTCTTAACGAAGCGTCACTGAGCGCTTAGGCAGATCTCCAATCATGCCCGGACTATTTCTAATTAACTCTTCTCATTCTAAGCCACAATCTCTCTCCTTTGTCAACATCCTTACGACCACTCCTGCAATCCCACTCATTTCGCACAGGAACAATTCTTACCAATTGTCCGCAAAAATACCCGCCCGTTTGCGTCTATTTCTAATCTGTCTATCCTATCTATCTTTTCTTTGTGCTCACGGCTGCGACAGTCGTTAACTCGAGACTGGCTTCCTCCCTCGACCGTAAACCACTCCCTCCCCCTCCCCATCATGCTCTCCGCCCACAATCTCAGCCTCGATTCCGCAATTCCTTAAGACCATATCGCGAGCACCCAGTGGCTCCAGTCGATCCTCCACCTTCGTTTTCCTCCTCAATTCCCTCCCCTCCATTCACCGTGGTCTCCCCGTCCACGTCCCCATCATCCGATACCTCCATCTCCACATCCTGCGATGTGGTTTCGGCCCTCCATCCTCGAGTCGCTGTGATTTTGGGCGTTGATCGCCGCTGGCATATCCCCTTGTTATTCTGTCGGGGTCTCAGCGTCCTACCGGCAGCATGGTGGGGGCTACGATGTGCATTTATGTTCCTGGCAGAGCTTCTGCGTATCAGGCCCCAGTTTTGGCATGAGGGATGGACAGCAGCGATTGTGATGAGCACTTCGGGCGATTGGGATATGGAGAGGAGGTTCAGAGTTATAGAAGTGGCATTGGCCATTATCTGGGTAAATACCCCGCGATCTGCTGCTCCAATTCTCGTTGGTAGACATAATGAACATCAACAGGACTACAAAGATCAAAAAGGATCCTCAATGCTAATTAATTTCCGAATTAAAGTGTTCAGCATCGGCGTATTTGTTTTACTTCTTCACGGATTGTATGATGTCTAGATGGTGAGCTGGGTCTTGCCTGACAATCAGGAACAACGAGCAAATAAAATAACAAATCTCTGGATTGACCCGGGAAACTAGGCTTCTTAATTATGCACCTCCTGCTGTTGTGATTCGACTTTTGGCTACAAATGGTCTTCTTGCCTACCTCACTTCATGGATTCTCTACCTATCAGGGGCATCCTCGGATCCCCGCCTCCTGCTTCCAGCATGGATATCAATCGCGTCGGTTCGTGTTCCTTGAATTTATGCATGCGTCTGCCCCAGTTGGTAACTGATCTCTCATTCCCGAAACAGGTCCTCTCTTTTGTCTACCATATCACCCAGCGCCAAATTAATGTGAAGAAAGAAACATTTGCGACAATCTACGTCTTCTCAATTGCAAGCTTTATCAGCATGTGCTCTTTGCTTCTACAGTTGCACCTCACACGTGAGAATGAGCCTGAAGTCCCACTATTCGTTATGGGTAAAAAGGCATTGGAAATTGGCACGGAAATGATTGCTGAATACAGGGTAGGAACTCCATGTTTTTCGCAATAAATAAATATTCATATTCTAACATTTGCGGCAGAACTGATTGGCACTCTCTGCATTAGCACACGTTGGCTACATGTGCAATTGGCTTTGATCCAGTTCCGATAATTATACGTTATCGTTGATTTCTCCCACTTTTTGGGTGATTTTGCTTACGTTTCCCAAGTAGATGCAGCAAATCACTTTGTGAACAATTCATTTGTGCCTTATTTTCTACTCATGCCAATTTTCGGTATGTCTGCATACATTGGCTTTGCACCCTTTCATCCACCAATGGCCCCTCAACCCTTCTGTTATGAGTAGACTATCAAGCAAAAGCATAAGAAGTGATATAAGGAGAAAGTAATCATAAATCTATTATCTATCAAATTTTCAAACTCTTGAACATGAACGAGGTCATCCTCTAGTTTGGGTTCCTCTTCTCCAAGGAAATGTCTACAGTAATTATACAGTCATAACGGTAAACATAACGCCAGCCCCAAAAGCCACAGTCAGCCCGACCCGTAACATTATCCAGAACTGTCCACCCTGTTCTTGGTCTATATTTTCCAACCCTTCTCCTTCGCGACCATGATTCTCACCCAAGCCAGGAATCCCGTCCCGGTAATCAGCAACACGGCAACAAATAACTGCGCCTTCCAAAACACACTAGAGTAAATATCAAGAAGTGCGCCTGCGATCGGGTTGCCAATCAACAGCCCCAAGCCTGCGAACCAAAAACACATACCCATGCGTGTTCCCACGAGGGATAGATCAGGGCTAAGAGACGCAATAACAGTTGGTGGGAGTGAGACAAGGGCGCCGGAGAAAAACCCATACAGACAGGAGAAAACAATAGAGCCCGCGATCGAGTGAATTCCCATCCAGGCAAACAGAAGAACAGCACAAGCGAATGAGCAGGGAATCATTACATCCAAGGCACCAAAATGATCCGCCAGGAGACCGGGGATGATCCGACCGAAGATGGAACCAGCGTTGAGAATGGCTATCATGTAAAATGCTAGGTCATCACTAGCATGCAGCCTTACCTTTAGGTCCGTTGGGACGTAAAAGAAGGGGAAGTAAAGGCCAACGAAGACGAAGAATATACCGAAGCTAAGGATTAGGTATGGGATGTCGCGCACGGCAGATATATCAAGGAGTCTTCGAGTTTTGGGAGGGGGTGGTAGCCGGGACCTCAGGATGGCGATGGATGCAATCAAACATCCAAGCGCTATGAATGCGATGATTCGCGTCGTCCAACCAAATCCGAGTTTGTCAATGAGTTTGCGAAATATAATCGGATAAATCACCGCTCCTGATATGAGTCAGCTTCGGCGAACCCACAATGATTTGAGGGGGCCTCTCTTTGCACAAAAGCTCACCGAGACTTCCTCCCGAGGCCGTGATACCGTTCGCCAACGCGCGCTTCGTTGTAAAGTACGTTGCCACAATGGCTACACTGGGCACAAACAAAAACGCACAACCGATCCCGACAAGGACACCCTGTGCCAAGAAGAGCTGATAATACTCAGTGCTCAGAGAAGTCATCATCAGGCCGAAGACGACGCAAAAGCTGCCCGTGACGATGAGAAAGCGCAGGTACCCCTTGTCGAAAATGGGGCCCGCGATAACACCAACGAGGAAGAGGAGAAACCCTTCGGTTGTCCCGATCCAGGAAATAGCTGATGGGGATTGCTGTGGGATGTATGTTGCTTTGTAATAAGTTTGATATACGCCGAAGGTATTGATGATTCCCCTACGGAATGGTCAGTTGTAGCCGCTTATCCCCTCGCCCCGTTTTCATCCCATGGCATACTGCATACGCCAATTATCCCCAATCACTACGTCTCAAAGGAGCAAATCACTCACCATGAGTTAAAAAATAGAAAGAAAGCGCCCAGAACCTGTAACCAAGCTTTGTAGCCGCCATTTGGTGGTGGTGGTGGTGGTGAAAGCTTTTTTGGCGCCGAGGGTTTGTCTCCAATCGAGGGCTCTGTCACATTCTGCCCCTCAACATCACAATCCCCATGGTTCCCATGGGATTGCACGTCGTTTCGAACGGGTGCCATTGCACTTTTAGTGATGCTGACCTCGCTTCTACCGGATGAGCTCGATGAAGTGGCGCCTCGGCCATTGCTGTCTCCAGCCATTTGGTATAATCGAGCCGTGGCCGTTTTAACTTCCTGTTGGAGGAGAGTTATTGGAAGTGAGGAAGAAAAGAGTCGAGTCAGCGTCCGCTCAGTCTGTGGACTAATATAAAAGGAATAGGGCAAATTGTGGATAAGTTTCGGTGGACATCTTGGGTATCTCTGGCATGTCCAGCGATCTATATAGTGAAATGAGAGGAATTAACAACCAAACCAACAAAGGAAGCGGATGAATTAATAATAATTCGTGAATTAGTAAGATGAACGAGCTCTCAAGGATTATTTTATACAACGAAATGAATCACTACCAGGCCAGGAGGGGAAACAGGTTAATACATGCTCGGCTCTACTTTTCCAACTCCAGCTACCGACGGTATGTGTAACGGGATATTCCAGCTACTGCATATTTTGCGTTTCTCTTCTTGTCTTCTAGAACTCTGGAAGATCCTCCTCATGTCTGACTCGTCAGGCAGTGCTGTGCTGTGCATACACTCAGTATACCAACTGATACAGCTTCCAGCACGTTGGGGTTTATTTTCCATGCCTTTACAAGAACGGTTTAAGAGATGACAGAAGAAAATTCATCATTCCCAAGCATCGGCTCTAAGAAAGAAAGAAGGCTGACAAATACAGACAAAACTGCTCGAATGGCATCATTTTGCATGAGGAGCGTGCTAGGGTCAAGTAGTTACCGAACAATGACTGAGACTGAAAGCGGAGGAGTTAAACCTCTTTGAGCAGTGGAGACAAGCTTTCTGATTGGCGTTTTGTCGTTGGCTGATTATATTCTTTAGCGCCAATTAGTTAGTTAAAGCTTAACGATGAATTTCCTTAATGATCTGCCAGACCCGAGTCAACGGGGGCCGTGTGTGGGTTGTGGCAGAAATTTTCTTCAGCGGGATCTACGATGGGTGGCTTGGGGCGTGCTACTTGCGCGTTTCTTCAAGACAGATATGGAGATATTCTATCCTGATAGCAATACTCGGTGCGCTTGGACGGGCGGCGCCACAGCCCAGTGGAATAGCGGTTGGGTGGGTGGGACGGATTTGAGCCCCAGATCTTCCCCCACGAGGTGCGGGCGAGGGGAGAGAGAGAGGGTCGGGCGGGGAGAAAGCTGAGGCCATAAGTTTCTGGGCCTTGTGGGACGCTCAGAGACTTTTCCAAGTTGCGTCCCTATATCGCTTTATGCCCTAGACAGGTTTGAGTTTCTTTCCTGCTTCTTGTGGTTTCTGATGCCAGGCTCAGCAGAAATGCAGCCCTGTAAGGCTGGTGTCAGGAAATGTCGATCGGGGAGACATCGCAGGGCGGAGTTTTGCATCGGATCGGTTGGAGAAATAATATGCCTAGGCTTTTTTTTTTTTTTTTTTTTCTTCCGGTGGGACGAGGTGCCAGGAAGCGGCTTTACCACATAGCCGTTGGGCACATATGTATTCCTTGTCTGGGAATATTATTCCAGCCTGTTGTCCCAAGAAGCTCTTACACTCCGCCAGGTATCACATCAGCGGGACCAGAGGCTTTTTTCACGGGAGCGTCCGTCTGCAGGTTGACCCACGACACATGCAACCATGTGCATATCCAATTAATGCGTGACAATCGGACATATTAGATCGTAAATAGAAACCCCCCTCGGAAAATTAACATGGCAGGTAAACTGCCCTTATTCCCTCCCTAAGCAACCTACTCCTCAAAACACCAGAACTCTCTTCTTTTGGCCCAACTCGGGGGTGTGCGTTTTCTTGATATCCCCTCGCAGCTCCGCTTCCAGTAGTCTTCATCGCCTGCACTCCATCGGACATATTCAAGCGCCGGTGGTTCTCAAAAGCCCTTCACGTATCAGCTCGGTAAACCAGATGAGAAGTGCCGTGCCGTGCCGTGCCGCTTGCTGTTCGGGCGTTCTTTTTCCCAGTGAGCCACTGAGCCGGAAATGCTTCAGGGTGATATTGCGTTGCCAGGCCAAGAATGCAAAATCCGGCAACGATTTCGGTGCCTGGTTTCCATCGATCATTCCTCATCACAGCTTGGGTTCTCATTAGTTACATGGATTGGTCTGCCCAAGAATGCGATCGTCAAGTACGTAGAACCCGGTGCCATCGAACATTCTTCGACGCTTGACTGCCTAAACCGGGTTAGCGTCAATGAGGCATATGCAATCTTCTAGCACAACCAAAGGCCAAACCCGCCCACCTTCATTTTATCCCGGATGTTTTAAGACGACCGCGTCGTAGTCGCTGAGAAACGCTGCAGGGCTCAATTCCGCAAGCCATATGCGAGCGCAGGTATCAGCTGCACAGTGCTCCCAGAACTTACGCAGATCAGGGGCCGAAGAGGCAGGTGATAAGACCAATCTGAGGTTCTTCCACAGACGTTGCTTAACCTCCAGCCTTATAGAGCTATGGTTTACAGGATCCCCCATTCTCTATCAGCTCGAAAGACTGAGTCTCCATGCATTCCAGAAAGACCCGAGGGTGGGAAGGAAGGGAGTGAGTGATCAGCCAGATCACCGTTGTACTATGCTGTCTCATCGTTTGCTGCTTCACTGAAGAGATCACCCTTTTTGAAGAAGAAACGCCGATGGTTAACTTGGAACGCAGAATCGGATTTGACACAGCGATCTCTGTATAGTTGCTATGGAATTAACGTCTGCAGAGCCCAATCCACTCGCTGCCAACTGCCACTCACTTAGCCGCCCTTTTCTTATGTCATTATATGCATGGATCATTTACTGTCGGGAGCTTCACACCATTTCCCATCAAGACCATGTCAAGCATCAATCAGTGCAAGACTGGATAGAGCATCTGGAAAATAGCTTTGAGCTTGCACATTGCAGTATCCCCAATATCCATACCATTTACTCCGATATCTTCTTTTCCAGTCAGTTTCGTATGGTTCTCCATCAAGAATTCACAAAAGCGTGGCTTGGATTTGCGTTGGACCTCAGTCGCCCATGCGCGGTTGGTTCTATCCGATAACGTGGCTAACGTGTACTATTTTCCAGGAGCTTCCCTGGATCGTTTTTGTGCGTCATGGGATAAGCTTTCGAGATGTGCGCTGTAATTATCGCATCGATGCTCGCCTCAGCCTCAGGCACCCCGCTTCGTGGAGTTGGCCGATTCTGGAAAATTTCAGGGACTGCGACGTTTCTGTGCCCCTTTCTCGACCCTTTCACCCTATACCCTAGTTTAGGAATTCAGGCACCAGGCTGGGGAGAAGTTGGAATTCTTGCAGGATATGTGAATCACTGAGATCTCTAGCAGCCGGTCACTATCAGGCTCATTACTTGCAGCCCAAACCTCAGAGGATGAAGAGTATAAAAATGGCCGTGTCGAATCGATATCTCCATATACATTCCTGCTAACTATCATCCCTCCTCTCAGCCTACGACGTGAATACATTACTTTATCAAAATATCCCCACTTTTAGATTTAGTATTTTTTTTTTTTTTATTTTTTTTTTTTATACCCCTATCTCTCGACATGGCTCCGATCTCGTTGGAAGGTTACGCGGTGGAGACTTCTTCACCCCAACTGATATTCCCAAAAATCTGACTTGGAGCTTGAGGAGGACTCCCCTCCGTTATTCTCGGAGACTCCATCCGCTCCTTGCCTTATCACTGATTTCATATGGCGCCAACTACAGTTGGGCCCAAATGCTCCAGCAAATTCAATTCGAGAATGAGGATGCAGTCACCTACGCTAAGCTCTGGGAGCTGGCATCTCGCATCTAATCATCTGTCAATTTCAGAGCGTCCGCTTTCGTCCCCATGTGTATGGACCGCTCTCCTGAATTCATTGCAACCATTCTCGCAATCTTGAGGTCGGAGGCGGCTTCCGTCACACTCGATCCGGACGGGTCTCCGGAAAGAAATTGGGTCATTGTGGAAGACTGCAATGCGGATCTTGTGGTCGTCCACGACAGATACAAACACAACTTCGAAAAAAGAATTGACATAGAAACGCTCTTGTCAATGGACGTGGCTGTGGATGATACTTTGACAGAATACCCCAGTGGATGGGACCGAGGCAATGGATGGTCCCACTCTCACACTAGTACCGCAGCTTATTACAGTCGAACGGGGCCGTACCTTACAGCAGCAGGTTATCAAAACAGTGAACCATTCCCTATGGGACATTGTTCGATATTCCCAATATGGGCTTAAAAGGGTCATTAACGCTGCTGGCCACCAAGACTCTGAACTCGACACGACGGTTAACATTGCTGTGAATGAGGCAGATACCCCCGAGAATACAAAGCAAATTTTTCAGCCCCTGGGGTCTCGCCCTGTCTGGCAAACGGAATTCACAACTCTCAATATTGAGGAGACAACTTCAGGCATAGAACTTCGTCTCTCATCTCGCATGGTAAGGGCCCGTCTTGAGTGTCTCCTCGACCAATGCCAGTACAGTCCCTTGAACTCGTCAGTGAGAGGGAAGAAGATTTCTTTTTGGCAGAATTTTCTCCGCAACCCAGCGTTCGGGCGCTTCATGGTCAGTTTGAGTTGATGGCACAACAACATCCCTCGAAAATTGCAGTGCAATTCGAAACAAAAGAGTATATCAGCTACCAACAGCTACATGAAAGATCCAATCAGATGGCCAATTTTCTATCTACAATTGGCATTTCCAAGGGCGACATTATAACCCTGTTATTAGACAAATCCCCCTAACCATAGTTTTAATCCTGTCCCTCCTAAAGCTTGGAGCAGCTTACCTTCCCGTCAGTCCTGAGAACCCTCTGAATTGGAATCTATTCGTGGCACTCGAAGCTAACGCCAAAATAGCCCGCACGGAAATCAAACACAGTGAATATTTTCCAGCAGAAAAATTAAGCTCTATATTTTTGGATCAAGTTAACCTAGGGGATCACTCTGCATTGAAGCCAGATGTTGAGGTTCGCTCAGAAGATGCTGGATATCTCATCTGTACGTCCGGCAGCACAGGTGTTCCGAAGGCAGTTGCTGCCATTAATATCGTCAGCCACCTCCGCAAGGATGGACATCTAATATCTGCAGGAGACGTTCTCAAGTTCCCAAGTCTCAAAGAGATGGCCGAGCGCATGCGCGAAGAAAACGTCAAAGATACGGATGTGGAAAAGGCCACCTTCAAGGCTCCAGATGAGATTCGATCTGCTATTTCAACGTCTGGCCTTTTCCCTGAAGACTACGAGGATATTTACCCATGCCCTCCCGGCCTAACGGAATTTCTGACACAAGGTCACCGGCTCGCATCTTTTTGGTGTCTAATGACCATTCGTTCTACGAACAAGGGAACTAACATTGAGATGTGGATTGGTCTTCTCAAGCAACTAGCCGAGACAAATGATATCCTGCGCACAACCTATTACAGTTCATAGCGGAAAATGGTACGGAGTGGTTCTGAAGGATGCCACCCCAATCGCCGAAATCCATTCTCCCACTTCCCAAGCCGAAAAACAACAGATCCTCGAGCGAATCTGGAAAGGGGAATTCATTTTTAGCAGACCCGTCATTCGGTATGCTCTTCTACAATACCCAGACGGGAACCTCGAAGTGGTTACAAAGATGGACCATGGGCTCTATGACGGTACTCTTCTGCGTATCTTCGACACGCATTTCCAAACCTACCAGCAAAACACGCCAGTGGAAGAATTTACCTCCTTTCGCTCATTCGCCCACCATGCATGGCAAAGTGAGAGAGCCCCTGCGCTCGAGTTTTGGACACAGCCTTCCAAGCGCCCGATAGGATTCAAATTCCCCCAAGTACCCCAGGGGACTCAGCCACAGGTAAACAACGTCGTCTTCTTGACAACTGATATCCAACTGGACCTCCTGGTAAGAGCGACTGGAGCAACACCATCAATTGTCTTCCAGGCAATTTTCCAAATCTGGCTTGCTCACCACAGCCACAGGAAGGATATTGGTTTCGACTATTTATACACAGGGAGGAATGTCGACCTTCCAAACCCCCAATCGATAAACGGGACCTACGCCAATTTCCTTCCAATGAGGTCCACCGTGTTCCTCGACGACAATGGCCAAAACAGTTTGGATTATTCGGATTTGGACTCCATCTCAGCACCACCACCACTAACCGCATCCAACTCCTGGCACAGCTACCTCCAAACCACCCAAGATGTTTTCTGGCAATACACAGAACACTACACCATGGGTCTCGAAGACATATACGCCGCCTGCTTCACAACCCGCGAACTTGCACTAAACAACACACTCTTCCTCTTCCAGCCCTTTGAGCCGAAACGGGCACAGGCACCAACCACTTCCAACTCCCCCTCAACACCCAGCCAGGATCAAGAACTCCTGAAGTGGATCGTCATGGCAGAGTCGCAGGTGACCATGCCACAGCCGTATGCGCTTGTAACGGAAGTTACGAAGACGGCCAGTGGTGGACACAGGTTCAGGTTTATGTTTGATGACATGGCTATCAGTAGGGAGGAGGCGGAGAGAGCTTGTTTTGCTATGGCAAAGATGCTGGTCCGGGCTGTTGAGATGGGGTCGGGGAATGAGAAAGAGGGCCGGGTTCGGGATATGAGGATTGGGGATTTGGGGAGGGGATTGTTGCATGAAGGCTTGAGTTGGATTCGGGGTGTTTCTTTTCCCCTTTTGCTTATATTTGCCCCCCCTTCTTCTCTTGTTTCGGCTTTCAGGGGCTTTTTCATTGTTGTTAAAACTTATTTGTTGGTTATGCAATGCAGAGACGACCATTATTAGACAGCAGACTTAGATTATAAACATGGATGATAGACAAATGAATTTTTCCCCTCGCTGATATCCTTCAAATACCATCCCCATGATATTATTCTCTTACTGTGAAGAAAAAGCTTGAACTGGAGGACTGGAACGGTTTCATATACATGCTGTTATTGATAACCCTCCTTTGCCCCTTTCCTCTTACGTCTGCGATAAAAAGATTCTTCCATTTTCAAAGATAATAGTTACCACAGACTACATGCGTTACTGTATTCCACTCCTCCTTTTCAACTTGACGAAACAATAAAATAATGACGTAATCCGTAAGCAAACAGAATTCCCGCCACTACAGTCCTATGACGTGACCCACACCCCAACCGAGCAGATTGGCTAGCTGGCTAGTTTCTCAGATTCCAACTGATCGAAAGATCAATTCAAAATATTCAACTAGGTTAACTAGATCTTAACCTAAAATTTTCCCACACTCAGCAGCAGATAATTAAATCAATTAATACACTAAGGTTTTAAACCAGCTCATTATATATGGATATGTTGCAATAACTAGTTGCATTTTGATGATGTTTATAAGTATTGACTTAAACTTTGCTAATAAGATATGAGAGTTTAAATCACAGTTAGTTTAATGAGCCTAGCAGATGAAATAGCAGACTTTGCAGATTTTTCTTATTAAATTTTCTTTATATTGAATTTAACAATTTATATTTGACATATTTTTTTCTTTTTTCTTACTCATAATAAATAAATTCTGATATTACTTTATATATGAAATTAATCATTTCATACTTAAAATAATTAAAAATGATTTAAATTTACTTGTGAAGAAATAAATATTTTAAGTTGAATACTAGATTTTTAAATAACTTAATTCAGTTAAGTTGTGAATAACTCTATTATTAATAATGAAGTTGTTTTAAACAATTTAAGCTTTAAAACTTCTATATATAGTAAAATAAATATCTAAAAATTAAATTTTTTAATTATATTTAAGTTATATTTACTGCTTAATTAAATCTTATATCTTAAACTATAAAAATATCAATATTAAAAAATTAAAAATATAGAATATTATTCTAACTGAAATTCAATTAAAATTTAAATATAAATAATTAATTTACTTATTCACAATAATAATAAATAATAATTTTATAAGTTATTTTAATTTTATTTTATAATATAACTAACTTTTAAAATTAATAACTATTTAATTTTAATTATTTAATAAATCTATTTAATTAAACTTTGGAAAAATTTTGATTTTTAAAAATGAATATATAAAGATAAAGCTTAATTTAATAATTAGTTATATTAATTGTAATTATTTACTTGTAACTTTTAATTATAACAGCTTTATTTCATTATCTTATGTATTTTTAATCATGAACTGAGATATTTTTTCACATAATGTAAAACTTTAGTTTAAAGAGGAAATTAAAATAGAGTAGTTTTAATTTTTATACATTTATCTCAATATATATTCAACAGTTATTTTGCTTTAACTACTTCAGCTATTGTAAATAATATTTTATATGTAAGTCTAAATTTTTATATTCTTGATCATATAAAACATGATGCTGATTTGAAAACAAAAACTATCAGAATTGGAACAAACTGCTCTTGTACAGTGAATTCTATCCATGGATTAACATAGCCTTTCTTCTCGAACCTTTCACTCTACGAAGTCTGTATACGACACTTAAACAGCGCTTCCGTCCCTTCGTTAGTGTCTGGGACCTATGGCAAAACCAAGCAAATCAATCAAAGGTTACTAAATAGAGTTTTATATCACATGAAGAAATGTCTCAGTTCGTGGTATGTCTTAGTTCATAACGAAAGACGTTAGTTAATAATACTTATAATAATATAAAGCCGCATTATAAGGTTTTCCTTATTAAAGTTATAATCATCATCCATCTGAATCTTATATTTAATAATTACGGTTTTTGAAATTTTTTTAAATCGCTTCTAAATAATTCTATTCTTATAATTTCCACTAAATGATGATTGTAACGGCTAAATTAGTAGTAATTAAGATTTATATAAATAGTTAGTTCTTGTTAATATGAGAGATATTTAAATATGAAATACAATAAAGTGAAATAATAATCTATTATGCTCTTAGTAAGCATTCAGCTGAGAAGATGATTTTTGTTTAAGATTTTTGAATCTTGCAGATCTCTTTCATCTCAGTCAGCTTAGTTTGAATTTTCATAAAAATTCATATATATATATATAATTCAACTCTTCAGTCAATTATATAGAATAGTATAAAATATACCAAGTATGCATACAACGTCAAAAATTTTGAAACACTTTCATTTTTTTAATAGCAGATATCATGCGTTCAATTCTTTTCTTTATTTCCATAGAGTTTCTTGCATTTTTACGATGAATTGATAGCTAGATATTTTTGAAGATATTTTGAATTAAAATCCCTCTCGGTCGGTTGGAGATTCCGTTCGCTTGTTGGATTACGTTGAATAAGGCGCCCAGAATACAGGTGCATAAACCAAAAGCGTGCAAGAAAACGATCCTGTATTCAAAGATATCAATCACATTGGCATATTAGTAGGTAAAAACATCAGCAGACCGCAGTGAGAGCCTAGAGTCTCAAAACAGAGAGCATTATAACACTGATCGAAGAAAAGGAAACCGTATCGTCTTACTGACCATGCAAGCTGAGGTTAAGAAAATACGAGCCTGCTCTAACAGCATGGCCCAAGGCTTCCCTTTCTCCATTGGAAGTTGTTATGAAGAAAGTAATAAAAATAAGATCAACCACTGCCTATTCATTCCTCGGAGTTACGGATAATACGACTTAGCACAAAAGGAAAGGATTTCCACATCATCCGACCCTTGAAGAACAATCAAACGAGTTGTAAAGAAGAAGCAAAAAACAATTCCCGGATCATGGGGGTATATCTCATCAACGCCTCGTCCCGTCATCATCTCGTGCTTATTCGAATGGAAACAGTTTAAGTAAAGCTTCCCACTCCCATGTAGCGGGGTGTTTGTTTCCAGAATCACACAGCCAGGTGGTATGTGAAGCCGACAATGCTTCCACTACATCCAGACCACTCAAGCCAGAGGGTAAAAAAGTTCACAAAAAAAGCTAATACCGGCAAGAAGCAACTCGTAAATCGATACCGGATAAGAGCATTCTCTGCGGGTGAGAATGGACTCCCCAGTCAGCGAATAAAGGCGACGAACGACATGGCTTCCATCGATCCTCTGGAGTGGACTGGAAAGACGAAAGCGGGACGGGCGTGATGAGCTGACTTAGAACCCATGGACCTAAAAAGATGCGAGGATTGGGTTAGATGGTTGTTGCGAAAGGTGGAGATTTTGATTTTTTTGGTTGGGGGTTGGGGGTTGGGAGGGGGGGGGGGGGGGGGGAATGAATCAAGTGGAGTATACGTACCTTTATAGTTTTGGCGTCGAGCTCAAGCCCTTCCTTTTTATCGACCAAAAATTCTTGGACATCCTTGCGCTGATCCCCCTGGAGCTGGATCACCTCGCCCATCTCACTGTCATTGACGATGGTGCCATTGCAGGCTATTTGATATGGTCAGCAACGACGTCACAGGAAAGACGATGGAACATGCAGAGAAAACATACCAAACTTCTTCTTGATGACCTTGAGGATTTTCTTTTGGTCGAACTTCTTCGGGAGACCTTGAACAGTTGTCAGAGTCTTGCGACCATTGCGCTCTATTGAGACAAGTCAGCATGACCATAGGTAAGTACCGTTGACGGAAAAAACATGCAAGGGAGGATGTTACAAGAGTGACATACGCTGAATCCGTATATGGATATAATTTTGAGACTGTTTAGTATCGCCGGTGTCTTCGTCAGCTTCGGCGAAGGGGTCTGTGGGCAGGGCACGTGGTTGGTTGTTGTTAGTTCAGTTGAGTTCAGCTGGTCTTGATGTATATATATATATATATATATATATATA